GAGCTTGATATAGTCTGCTCCTTCAGCCACACGGTCCTCCACAAATTTCTTGGCTTCTTCTGGGTTGGAGATCACCGCCTCTTTTGGCATTCCCGGCATGTGGGTATGAGAACTTCCAGGTCCAATGGCCGGAAGCCCACACGCTTTGATGTCAGTAAGACCCTTCTGTCCACGGAGCGACTTGAGAAGCTCAGCGGGCCAGGTAGCCATATCAAATGCAGTGGTCACGCCGTACTCCGTCATCCGAACGAGGTCGTCCGTCCCCGTCAAGTGGATATGACAGTCTATCAGTCCGGGTAATAACACCCCTCCCTGTGCATCCACGGTTTCAGTAGGCACCATTTCAGAACTACCAATGAGCTCACCTTTGATGATAACAATGCTCGGTTCACAGATCTTGTCTCCATCGAAAACTCGTACGTTGGTGATAGCAACACAAGAGCCTCTTGACGGCTTCGGCTCCGTTTCAGAGCAGCCTTTTGCACACATCCGTGAGAGTCCCATGTTCTAAGATGACGCTAAATCCCGTTTTAAAAAAAAAACGAAATTACGCGCAACCACCCCTTTTTACATGTCTTTACATGTAGACTTGATTTAGAGAAGCGCCTTACGAATTCCGCGACCCGAAGCCTCCCGGTGAGGAGGCGTGAAGTGTCACATCTTGGAGCTGTGATCATTCGTCAACTGTGCTCTCGCCTTGACTGATTCGTAGCCTCTCTGGTTGTACGTCTGGTGCAACCCAGTTTTCGGGGGACGCTATCTTTTGCATTATGGTGTGCCACGGAATGCGGTTTACTTACAACAATCCAGTCACCGACACACTCGACATTTCTCAAGAACTGTCTTCGGGGATTACCTTGTATATCGGAGTTATTCTTTCCACACGTGTGCTTGTAGCATATTGTTTATCGGGAATTCAACACGGTTCACATCAGGGATCTCGTCATTCTCGTGCGGGATATCGCGGGCGACAAGCCGAAAAATTAAATGCCGCGACCGTGGATCGAACACGGGACTTCAAGATCTTCAGTCTTGCGCTCTCCCAACTGAGCTATCGCGGCGAGTGGTATGAAGCACAATCGCATTACCATCGTTTTTGGCTGCCGCATTATCTTTACCATTTACCGCATTTCTCATAGATTCGTCCTTCTCATGTGCCGACTCCCCGGCACAATTATTATCTGTGACATGTTTGCACAATGAATTTGAATGAGGAGCATGACGAATAAATGGTTGGGGAGTGATTGGCTACTATTATATGCCCGAGTAGTATGGGGTTTTGGGTTTGGTACTGGTGTGGGATGGGTATTAGTACGTAGCGCATGCAGGTGCATATTAGCCATGTCACGATAGGAGCGTAACGTGTGTTCGGAGGAGTCTGTTTGTTTGGAAGCGGAGGGGATCTGGTACATTCTTTCTATGCAGATGTGTCGGTGGATATGATGGTTCTATTTCAGGTGTTTACAGAAGATGAGTGTAAGAGCTTGTCACTCCTCTGTCAGTGTTACGGAAAGGGGCTGAAGCACGGCGTATTTTTAGAGTCTCTGGTTTACGAGTGTATAAATGGTAGTTCTATACATAAGTTGGTGGAGGAGAAGCCATGGCTCATGAACGAAGTTGCTAGAGTACGAGAGAAGTTTCTCAAGTACGATGGCTCCGGAGTACCGTCAGTTGTCCAGACCTTTCAGCGCCAGAGGGAAAAGCGACAGCGAGAGTGTCTCGGCGATGTGCATCCGGCCGAGAAACTATGCTGGGTCATGCACCTCGGTAGACTCCTGTACCCCGTGGAACAACAGTCCTCACTCGATCCTTTAATCAAACCAGAAGAGTCTCTGGAACCCCTGCATATTATGCCGTTACCACATAGGTCGTTATTGCACGCGTCTTTAGCTCATACGCCATCATCACACACATCCCCAAATCAGGACATTAATTACCGGCCTGGGAAACTGATCAAAGATAAGTTTGATGTATCCATTGTGAACACCACCGAGACTTATCTTCATGCCTTTGTTCAAGCCCTCTCGCATTTGGCAGAAACTGCGAGCATACATGAAAGATGCAGCTTCAGGAAAATCGGTATCCTTATAGATTGTCAAGAGATTATCTGTAAGGAATCTTACTCACTTAAAATGCTAGTAGACGTAAGCTAGACCCTACATCCCCATCCTACATCCCCATCCTACATCCCCATCCTACATCCCCACCCTACATCCCCACCCTACATCCCCTCCCTACCTTGTCCGTGTCGACTTCAGTTCATGAGCTTCGTGCTTTAGGCGATTTCCCTTCTGGTGGGGGGGCTTTCGCCTTTGTTTCTGGACGAAGTTTGCGTCGTGAATGTTGAGAAGCTAGGCATATTCGGCTGGCGTATTTTGGAAGCAATAACCGGTTGCTTTAAGCATTTTCATCTGGGTCAGGGTAGCTTACCTCGTGTGCAAATCGGGCTGTCACCTAACCGATGTCTTAAGCAGGCGAAGGATGTAGCCCAGTTGCTGAAATGTCCATTGGATACCGGGTGTTCAAGACATAGTGTGTGTCGTCATGGTCTTGATGCACAACGAAGAAGGAACCGACGCAAGGAATCTTTGTCAGATAAGAAGTGCCGTGACGGATCGGAGTTGTGGAATACTAAGAGAACCGCATGCCTTAAAGACCTCCACGAATTTGACTCTTTTATGACCAGCAAGTTGAACAAAGGCTCCCTCTTTATGGTTGTGGGTAATCGCGCTCTAGGTGGAGGCCTAGGATGTGAATACGGCACCAAGCCCAACCACCGACTACAGGACTGGATGCACCGGAACGGCTTGCACGTGCCTCCGGCGTGTACTTCCGGAGGGCCCGACGTATGGGATCACGTATGGTTCTGCGCGCGGCAGCGAGTGAAATATAACATAGACCAGGACGACGTGCTCAAGTTGGCCCTCGATGTGGCAGACATGCAGTGTAGCAAGAAACAACCTTTGAAGGGGTTCGGTGTGTCCGCAGGATACGACCGGGCCGACAAACCTGGTTTAATGCCGTAGTCAAACCTGACCCAAAATAATAGTTACATCCGATAAAGGGGCAGTGGTTGGCCCGAATGGTGGTAGAGACCCACCCGAATGGTGGTAATGACCCACCCGTG